ACAAGTTCTGCTGCAAGGACAGATAAAGAGGAATGAATGGAGTGAAGTTTGTCTAAAAAGAAGAAGAAGGAGAAAGAGAAGGTAGAGAGACAGGCCCCAAAGTACGTCCAGATAGGGAGTTTGTCTCTTAGTAGTCCCATTTTTATCATAGCAACGTCAAAAAAAGGTCGCTCTGCAGCAAAGATAGAGTCCCGCCTGGGGAGGTCATATCTGTGGTGATCCAGGCTGCCGTGGAAGTGGGCTGGTGGAGTTCTTCTGTGCAGGGCCGGGATTCTGGAGGCGGAGTCTCCCTCTAGAACATCATGGGAGTCTTCAGAAACGGCCGCGATTCTAGGCAAAAACATAAACATGTCATTTAAAAAAGAAAAAAAAAAAAAAAGGTAGCATACATGCAGCTAGCATAGCACTCAAAGATTCCTGAATCAACAATTATTAGAATTCATGGGTGCAATGGACTGGCGACCTGCCCAGGGTGTAGCCCATGTGTCGTCCTTTGACTGCTGGGAAAGTCTCCAGGCCTGCCACAACCAAAATGTTTGGGAAAATGCTAGAACAGCAAATATCTTGGTAAAAGTATAAAACTGAGTGTGTGTGTGTGTGTGTGTGGGGGGGGGGGGGGGGGGATCCTTTGGCACAAAGTCAGAAAACTCTCAGCTTCCATCATATTTGACTGGTGATTCCAGCAATCCCTATATCCCAGTGATAATAAATTTAGATACTACCTTAAAATAACTGAAGAACTTGTTTCTTTGGTAAAACATTGATAAAGTTATGGAAGTGATTGTATCAAACTAGGCAACTATTTTATTTTTTTTTATTATTTTCATTATCTATTTGTATCTTGTAACCCAGCCACAAGCCAGTGATGGTGCTGATCCCAAACCCAGATAAAAGGGGAAGGCTGCATCACAAAGGGGATCTGGCATAAAACCTATGCAAAACCAAACATGCAGATCATAAAGAAGAAGATCTATGTGCATCTTGTGTCTGTCTCCTTAGTAATGTTTCAGTCCTAGGTCAGCAGACTGCAAAAAGCCCAGGTTATACATTTAGATGGTAGAACAATAATTTGTTTGCCAGACCTTTAAAATGACATTAATGGAATAATTTAATGAGAAAAAAAACAGCTTCACACACAACTGGCAAAATATTAACCCCTTAACATCTACCAGGCTAAACACTTAGGGATAACGTTGGAGATAAGTTGCTCTTTAAGGTCAAAGTTATTTTCCAAAACTTGTTTTGGAAAATAACGAGTTCTTCTTCTTGACTAGAGTTCTTCTGCGATGAAATTTCCATTTAAGTCTGCCAAATGGGGGAAAAAATCCTTATAAAGGGGTAGATGTGAAGCTAAGGCCACTGTTACACAGGCCTAGGGACCAGTCTGTGACCTCCTGGAAACCACCAGTCATTGGGGGGAAATGTGTATCCCTTGACACCAACGACCCACGTGAATGAAAGTTTCGATTTTTTTTGTTCACCAGTTGCTGAAGTCTGTGAGGATTCTTGGCTGTTATGGCATCACTTAGGGGTCTGTGTCACTTGGACGTAACCCATTTCCTAACTCTAAATGCATTGCTACAGAGCAGATGAATGCTAAAAGGTTAGCCAGTTTTAAATTGTAATGATGTTTTTTTACCTTCTTAATGCAATACCTTGAGCTAGTTTGTCTGACCGCCAAATGTGCCAATGGAGTGATTTTATATACTGCAAATCCCCCCGTCCAGCTACTGCAAAACTGCTCAAGGAGCTGAACATTCTTTACTGAGCAACAGGTAAGCTGTACAGTGTGTATATGATGCACTATGATCATGGTTCAAACATGGTTCTAGTAGATGCACCCATGGTATCAGCTTAAAAATCGTTCTCGAGTCATCATTTTCACAAGATTTTGAGAAAACTTGAGCTTGACTTGAACTCAAGGTCAATGAGGTTTGAACTCTTCTGTGATTTTCAGTAGATGCATCTATGCTATTAATTTGAAAATCCTCATTCTTGAGTTAGTGTGTTCACAATCTTGGTGATGCCAGCAGGGTGATGACAATAACAAAGACTGAACACTATAATTAACTAAAGGGAGGAGAGGCTAAGAACTGCTGACAATAAAGCTGGGAATCAACCTCAGTATGTAAATCATCAGCAGGTAAAAATGGGGAGCTGGTATGGCCAAAAACTTGTTTTTGTTGTTTTTATTTCCAGATTGAGAAATTGGCTAATATTAAGCTTGGGAACGACTGCACTAACCTAAAACAGAAATCCAGAAGGTGGTGACACATTATCCCTGCTTCTTTCCTTCCTCCGCTGTCATATTTATACTCCCTGAAGGCTAACTCAGTAAACATTTTCCTCCAAAAATTGGCCATATGAATTAAAATTTCCACTTGTAGCAACTAAAATTGAGCTAAAGTGTCTTTAAGCGCATTAAAAATGCAGAGTTTAAAGTCTAATGAGACGTTTGCACAGGAACTTCACCCTTTCTTTATGATCATTAAAGCAGGAAGTATTTTTTCTTCACTTGTTCTCCCTTTATGCCGTTTACGAGAGAAATCTCGTCTCTCCAATTTTGCCAGGGTCGACTCTCCCTCCTCTCTTTTTTCTCTCCCTCTCATTTCACCTCCGTCGTTCTCCTTCCGCTCCCCGTAGTGCTGTTGCTGCACCCACCCACACAGGAGCACGTGCGCACACTAAAACCCCGAACACACGCATGCATACAACAGGAACACACACACGTGTGCAAACCTTCCTCTCCCTGCGGTGTCATTGTTTTCTGCGAACGTTGCAAAGTGTTTACATTTCTGCATAACAGCAACCATAAACCTGCCCTCCCTCCTCTTTCCACCCTGCACTTCTCTTTCTCCTGCCCTCTACTATCTTACTACTTTTTTAAAGCTCTTAGTCATCTTCCTGCCCTCTCGTTTTGTCCTCTGCTCATGATTCTTTGTTATTTGGATATGAAACAGACCCATGGTCTCTGTGTTGGACTTAAAAAAAAGAAACTTTCTTAAATTTTCTCTTTCATCTCGCGCTCGCCCCTCGTTTCCTCCTTCATATTCCCTGCCTTCCCTCCTTTTCATCCCTCTCATCTCCTGCCCTTCCCTATTTTTATCACTCCACAATCCACTCAAACCCCCTCCTCTCCTCCTCTTTCATCCCTCTATTCTACATGCATCCCCTCCTCCTCCTCACCTCCCCTCTGCTCCCTCCTGTCCTCTATCTGTTACTCTCATATTATTTTTATCCCGCCCCATTCTTCTCTCTGTCCTCTCCTGTCCTTCTTTTTCTCCTTTAGGCAGCAGGTTTGGCCCGGTGCTTAAAAATTGTCCTGCAACTTAAAGAGTGGAGAGCCGCGCTGATCCCCTCCGACAGTGCTGTCCTTAAAACTCGAACCTGTAACTTCTTCCAGTTAAAATATCAAAAACTTTCACATCAGCTTGCTTTTCTACAGGGAGTGCAGAATTATTAGGCAAGTTGTATTTTTGAGGAATAATTTTATTATTGAACAACAACCATGTTCTCAATGAACCCAAAAAACTCATTAATATCAAAGCTGAATGTTTTTGGAAGTAGTTTTTAGTTTGTTTTAGTTTTAGCTATTTTAGGGGGATATCTGTGTGTGCAGGTGACTATTACTGTGCATAATTATTAGGCAACTTAACAAAAAACAAATATATACCCATTTCAATTATTTATTTTTACCAGTGAAACCAATATAACATCTCCACATTCACAAATATACATTTCTGACATTCAAAAACAAAACAAAAACAAATCAGCGACCAATATAGCCACCTTTCTTTGCAAGGACACTCAAAAGCCTGCCATCCATGGATTCTGTCAGTGTTTTGATCTGTTCACCATCAACATTGCGTGCAGCAGCAACCACAGCCTCCCAGACACTGTTCAGAGAGGTGTACTGTTTTCCCTCCTTGTAAATCTCACATTTGATGATGGACCACAGGTTCTCAATGGGGTTCAGATCAGGTGAACAAGGAGGCCATGTCATTAGTTTTTCTTCTTTCTTGCCAGCCACGCTGTGGAGTACTTGGACGCGTGTGATGGAGCATTGTCCTGCATGAAAATCATGTTTTTCTTGAAGGATGCAGACTTCTTCCTGTACCACTGCTTGAAGAAGGTGTCTTCCAGAAACTGGCAGTAGGACTGGGAGTTGAGCTTGACTCCATCCTCAACCCGAAAAGGCCCCACAAGCTCATCTTTGATGATACCAGCCCAAACCAGTACTCCACCTCCACCTTGCTGGCGTCTGAGTCGGACTGGAGCTCTCTGCCCTTTACCAATCCAGCCACGGGCCCATCCATCTGGCCCATCAAGACTCACTCTCATTTCATCAGTCCATAAAACCTTAGAAAAACCAGTCTTGAGATATTTCTTGGCCCAGTCTTGACGTTTCAGCTTGTGTGTCTTGTTCAGTGGTGGTCGTCTTTCAGCCTTTCTTACCTTGGCCATGTCTCTGAGTATTGCACACCTTGTGCTTTTGGGCACTCCAGTGATGTTGCAGCTCTGAAATATGGCCAAACTGGTGGCAAGTGGCATCTTGGCAGCTGCACGCTTGACTTTTCTCAGTTCATGGGCAGTTATTTTGCGCCTTGGTTTTTCCACACGCTTCTTGCGACCCTGTTGACTATTTTGAATGAAACGCTTGATTGTTCGATGATCACGCTTCAGAAGCTTTGCAATTTTGAGACTGCTGCATCCCTCTGCAAGATATCTCACTATTTTTGACTTTTCTGAGCCTGTCAAGTCCTTCTTTTGACCCATTTTGCCAAAGGAAAGGACGTTGCCTAATAATTATGCACACCTGATATAGGGTGTTGATGTCATTAGACCACACCCCTTCTCATTACAGAGATGCACATCACCTAATATGCTTAATTGGTAGTAGGCTTTCGAGCCTATACAGCTTGGAGTAAGACAACATGCATGAAGAGGATGATGTGGACAAAATACTCATTTGCCTAATAATTCTGCACTCCCTGTATGGCTGCGCTCATTTTTCCACTGTCCACTGGAACTAATCTGTTTTATTTTTGACCTGTTATTTATTCTTTCTTTGGTGGAAATTTTGAAAATGTCAATTCCAGGCTCCCACAGTTCCAGGAAATCTGTATTAATGTCTTTTTTTGTGCATCTTGCGGTCCAAAAGACATAAAACAGACAAAGCAGCAGAGCCTCACGTTTGAGCAGCTGCACCCAGAGCGTAATTTGAGATTTTGCCTGAATATTGAACTTATGTGTAAAGATTCTGCATAAGGAAGTGCAAAATTATTGGCCCCGCAGCCGAATTCATCCCAAACGAGCCCGGATTCGCCTTGCATTTGTAGCCCACAAGGGCAAAAGCAGGCATTTGCTTTTTATGTACGGTATCATTGAAGTAAAGGTCTTTTTTGAAAGTATAAAAGTGTTTGGTAAATTCGATGTCCATCCATTCATACTGTACATCCATCCAGTTTCTGACACTTATCTGGGTCTGGGTCCAGAACAAGCCCAGACCACACTCGCCCCAGCCACCTTCTCCTGCTCATGTGGGGAAACACACGAGCATCTCTGCACCAGCTGAGAAACAGGTCTACCACGGGGCCTCCGCCCAGTAGGACATTCCTGAAACACTACTTGATCTTTTGGTCACACACACACACACCCAACTGACAACTACCCTAAAATGTGTATTCTTGGAGGTTGCTGGTAGTCACTATATGAAATTGGTTGCAAAGAAGTAAACTGTGTTGCACAACCTCTTTGTGATTGCCTTTGGCTTCAAACTAAAAGTTGTGCGTTATCCGATGCAACAGTCTCCATTCTATTACCCATTTTTCCCAGTTTTGCTCCCACTCAGCGAGTGTTTGCAGACGTGATCTATCGAAGCGACAATCTGATTCCAACCAAAGCAATCTTAAGGAGACTTTTGGTAAGCACTCCCTTGGTGACCGATTTTATCTATCAACACTCAGCAAATGCCAACATCCTCAGAGGTTGTCAGGGGGTTGCCAACCAGTCTCTAGGCCTGCGTGACTGAGACCTTAGGTAGCACTTTACTCACTGTTCATTTGTTTAGATTACAGACCACTTAAGAATGTAAATAATGTAAGAGTATATACATTCACAATAGCAAATGTAAGTTCAAAGTAATACGTGATGTATTACTGTTTGACTGAACTGTGTGTGTGTTTAGGAAGAGCACAAGAGGCCCACGGTCAGGAAAATCAGTCCATGTTCCAGGGATATTTGTGGGTCAAATTATACTACATTGTGGACATGGAGTTGGAGACCCAACGGCCAGGCACTACGACTACTTTGAAGTCCACGGCACAGGTCTCAGTTTGCGGAGTCACGAAAAAACAGTTAGGACGTCCGCACAGACCCTCAAGCTCATTGTCTGATGATCAAATTTACATTTAGTTATTATTAATAAAATTAACACAGCTTAAGTCTTTCCCCCATAAAGTATAAAATGTGTATTTAATGCCACATGATGATCCTCCCTGTACCCTTAATGACAAGTTGCGACACCTTGCTATATTTAAATAAAGGCCTACATTGTGTGTCCCTGAGCATAAATCTATAGATGCAGTTTTTGGTCCATAATTCATAAAGACATATGTATGGATTAAATTTAACCTTTAATTTAAATCGACTCTCTTCCTCACAGTCTTGGTACTTTTCTTTTGGTGGAAGGCCAGAAATTCTTCAAGTAAAGAATCCTCCAAAGTGCAGTCAACACAGCTGTAGCATGTGGATGAGCATCCACAGAAGAAAGCAAACCGCCAAACTTTTATTGATAATCTGATAATATGCAAACATTTTAAAACATCAATATTACAGTATGTTGTTGCAACACTGTGTGTATGTATTTTGAGTTTTAGACTGTTGGGTGGAACCAAATGAAACCTTAGGCCAACACAACATGCTGAGCAAAAATGCTTTCCAATATTTTCCTTGAGGAAAGAAAAAACAAATAAACAACAAAAATACATCTGTAATAAAAGTAATTGTTACTTGAAGCCCTTAATGAATTGTCTAGTACTTAATCATTCTTACAAAATAGCACCAAATGTGTCCATCGCATTTTTCCCAAAGCTCAAATCAACAAATCACTTGTTTTGTTCACGAAACGCCCAAATATTCAGTTCAGTGTCAAAGAAGACAAAAGAAAACCAGGAAGCTGTGAATTACTGGCTGTTTCTGCTCCAAACATTCATTTACAGACTAAGAATAACTCGCTTTTTAGCACTCGTTTTTCCTTTTTCTTCTCTGATGTTTTATTACTGATTTCTTTTCTTCAAATTATTATCTGCTAAAATAAAATAAATAACAAAACATGAAGTCGCTGAGTCTTTGTGAGTCTGAGTCTTGCCTTTTTGTAACTGCTTCGGTACACTTCCCTCTCACCTATATCTGTCACTATAAAATACACCTCCAGCCCACGTGCACGTGTGTGTGTGTGTTTGCTGTCGTAGTTAAAAATGACGCTGACCTGCCTTGTTAAAAGTCTATCAGCAGGGTGGAGAAAATGTCACCAGGTCTCGGAACAAGGTCACATTTTTCAACTCCGTCCCAAGGAACCTGCTTAGTCTTCCACCTTCTCCACTCCTCCTCCTCCTCCTGCTGCCCTCCTTTCCCACCTCTTCCTCTACTGCACCCCACTTTTCCTCTCCGGTTTGTTCATCTTTTTTAATCCTCACTGTTTCATTTCTTCTCTAACCCTTCCTCTGCTCCCCCTTCACGTGTCTGGGACTCCATATAAAAACGATGTCCATATACGCACGGACACCCTCTCATCCTGCTCTTTCCACCTAACATCTGGTATCCTTTGATTTTTCCCTCTTCTTTTTCCATACATTTACTCTTATCCTGTCTTCCTTTGCTTTCTTCCCCTCGCTCCATCAACCTTTTCTCCCTGCTTCATTTTACTGCCTTTAACTCATCATCCTCTTCCTTTTCTTCTTACCTTTCCCTATCCTTTCTTTTCATTCATTCTGACATCATTTTCCTCTTCTCTTTCTCCATCTCAGTCAAACCTTTCTCCTTTTTCTCCATCCTCCATCTTATTTGTCCCTTCTCTTGTTTGTTTTCACTCCACACCCCTTTTCCCTATCAAATCCTTCCCTTTTTGCATCTCTCTTTTTCCCAAATCTCCATTTCTCTCCCATGTCTCTTCCTACTTTTGACCATGTTTCTTTTCTATATTCCTTCAGTTTTCCCCTTTCCCCATCTCAATCATTTAACTTCCTCCTTCAGAGCCTCCCACCCCACAACCTCTAAATCTTCTCCACTTTCTTCGCCCTCTCCCCCTTTCTAACTTCCTTTTCTCTGTCTTAATTTCCCTCAATTCGTTTTTTTTTTTTACATGGCCAATTAGCCTGGTCAGCTTTTAACAACCAAATGAAACGGATCTCACTTCCTTTCTTTTTAACCCTCTCTCGCTTTCCCTCCCTTGCTTATCGTTTTTCCCTCCCTTCGTTCTCTCTCTTTTTGATTGTAATGCGATGTCTTTCTTTGTATTCAGCACTTTTCTTCCTCACTCGTTAATTAAGAGTGTGGAAGGTGAGAGAGGCAGGGGAGAGGTGTGTGTGTGTTTGTGTGTAAGTAAACCACCATAGGTGCAAAATGCTTTTATGGCAGGAGGGATGAGTGTGTATTTGTCTATGTGTGTGTGTGCAAAGGGGTCCTACTGGGCCAATCAACATTAATGAAATCAGGTGGGTCTGTGTGTGTGTGTGTGTGTGTGTGTGTTTGTCGGAGTGCTTGGCTTGCAGAAGAGAGGGGATCTAAAAGGGGTCTAAAGAGGAGTGAGAGCTAATTAGAGTTCCCTGTCTCACAAGAGTGTGGATCAAACACACACAGAAATGCACAACTACAGGTACAGAGCACACACACACACACACACGGTGTGCGCCTGTAGATATTCATTTATACACACGCAGAGTTTCAAGTGAAGGTTTTCAATGTCAGGGAGGACTGAGCACAGCTGGTGGAAAGAGGACAACACATGCATACTAACACAGACGCACACACCGGCGCTGTACTTGTGAGGACCCTCATTGGCATAATGCACTTCCAAACCAATAACTAGGACTTGGACCTTTCCTCCACTTCAGCTCAACTTTTCAACCTCCTCCACCTGAAAACAGTCAGACTCCAGCGCCGCTTCCTTCAGGTTATGTTCATCTGCGGCCGGAGGTTAAAGTGGGCCGGACCCATCCGCAGAGGTGCACCTTTGATTAATAAGTAAATAAGTCTGTTTGGCAGTTTCATAAATAATAAAGTAAAGCAAGTTCATTTTTCATGTGCTACAGCCTGCCGTTCTTTCCACCCGAGGCTACGAAGATGCTCAACAAATCAGAAACTAATGTCACCCCACAGTCCCACCCCGCAACCAACACATGTCCTTTTAACAGTCGGCACTCGTTTTATCCATTTTCATCTGTGTGTGCCAAAGATATCACCAATTTACTATCGCCTATTTAATCCCAACAGTAGCCATGCTCTTATTTTGAAAGAGCCTAGACTTAACAACCTAGCTCCAGGCCTTCCTGTCTTGTGTTTTTCCTTAAGGTCATCTGATCAGGTCGCCGTTATAGTCTCTCATCCTGGACCACAGCTGGAGATGGTGGTGGTACTTATTCTGCTTTGCAGCGTTAGTGAGCGACACTCAGGAGCACCATCAGTCCAAGAAGGTGGACTTTGTGGAGGTGGTGGTACTATGTATTTTTCTTTACATTTTGGGTGTGGCTGCTTGCATGTCTTACCACCACCACCTCAGCGTCAACGGCTGTTACACACCAAGCGAATTGTGAAAAAAACAAGAACATTAAATTCTGAACTTTTCGGATCCGAAGTGTCAGTTTTTGTTAAAAATTCATCATCAGAAATGCACACAAATAAAAAAATGAAATCGACATCAAGCATTAATGAGATGGTCCTGATGGTTCTCGACAAGAAAATTAAGAAACTGAGATTCTGGGTTCATCCAGTTCTCAGGAGAAGGCAGCAGCAGGGAGAATGTGATGGCTTGATCCAGCAGTTGAAGCTTTCGTACATATTTCAGGATGTCAGTGGAGCACTTTGAGCTCAGAGTTGGGACCACATTTCAGGAGGCAGAGAGCGATTTGAGCGGTATAATCAGTACTGTTGCACGTTTTGAGCTACAAGCACAACTGTTGCCTAATGCAGTGGTCTGATTGGCCATATCTGTTTATTCTGAATTTGTCCGGTGACATCACGTGGTTCGTGTGATTAACAGGTGAGTCTAAAACATTTTTAGCTTGCCTAATTGTTATGCGCCTGATGTGCAGAGGCCTTAATTCAATGGGAAAAAAATCTAATCTACTCAACAAACATCACCAAACAAATGCGTGTCCATCTGTTCTGCTACACAGCGGCACTGTAGCTGTATTTACAGAGAGTTTACAACATTACTGGATGTAAACTTTACTTTTAAAGATGGAGAGAGCTGCCAGAAGTACAGGGCAGCAGAGGATGTCATGGTGCTTTTAAGGATAAAGTCTGCTCATCAACTTAAAATAACAAAGTGGAAGAAATTTAAATCCCACACGAGTATTGCCATTTATTTATGAGTTACATTAATCAGACAGGCTATATAATGTGTTGTTAAAGTTCCATTTTGGCTCTTTTACATTGAAAAATATCTTTTAAATGAACAATTTTTTGTTATTTAAAGGTTCGTTGAGAGTAATAATTTTTAATAAGTACTTGTAGTAAAATTTGAGGTTGGTTAGGTTAGATCATGATGGCATTTGCTTATTCATTTTAAGCCGGAAAGCAGCCATGAAACTACGACAGTCCAGTGACAGTATGACAGTTATGGAAGCTTGTTTCTTGTTTGCATAGATAAGCTGAAAATTTAGGTTATTATCTCAAAATTTAGAATGAGAAAGTTAAAACTTTGAGATAATAACCTGAAATTCTGACTTGTGGATGGGTAATTTTTTTCTTACAGTGGTGCAAACAAGCTTTCCCACCATACAACACAGAACGGAGCTGGCTAAATCCACAAAGTCTAGTAACCCCCACAGCGACAGCAGTAGCACTGGTCAGAAAACAGGCATGTGACTTTTTCCTAAACTGCCAAATCCCACTTTAACCTTCTATTTGACTAAACTGTCGTCTCACTTTCAGGCATCTTGAACTGAAGTTGTCAGGAGGAGCGCAGAGCTTGCGACTCTCTCATTTGAGCCCAGGCTGGAGGTTAAACGCAGGTCACGAAATCAGTTTTGCTTGAGTTAGACACGACTGTGGTTTTAGTGAAATATAAATAAACTCACTCTGGAATTTGTCTTTAAACTAGACTTGGATCTTTTCTTTAACCAAGTGCTGCTGGCATCTAAAAATAACTCGGCATATGTTTAGTCTCTGCAACTCTCAAAATATGCTGATTAACTTTACTACAATCCTTTTAAAATGTGTTTGCTGTGAGTAATAACAAAGAATTTTCTAAATGACTACGCTTTTAAGAAAGTCTGCACTCTATTAAAATGTCTTCCACTGAACAGCTCACTACTTTTGAAGAAATGTAAACTCAAATAAATGCAAATTTTAACTTAAAGATTGATCTTCCTCTTTGCTTCACTTTGCAAAATCTTTGTTAAATAATATCCTTTGTCTTTGAAAATTGAAACAATTTCCAAAAGATCGTCAAGGATGTTTCTAATGTTGTTGCTCTCTTTCCTCTTACTTTCTGTATTTACCCCACCTCCCTGAGTAAGCTCTTTGTGATGGTGGGGAGAAAGAAGTCCCCAATGACAGGAAGAGCCATGTGGAGCAACCAGGCCCAGCCAGAAGCTACCTTCTGCTATGACAGGCTTTTTAATAAGCATGTCCCTATTTTCTTAATTGTTCAACCTTTAGTTTGATTTTAAAATAATCCAAAAATATTGTTTATCTTTTTCTAAAACTTTATACATTTCTTAAAAACCTTAAACTGGTCCAGACAAAAACTCACCAGCTACTTTGTCAGGTACACCCAGAGCCCTTAAGTAAGTCAGAGTTGTGTCAGCTGGAGTTCAGAATTCAGGGTTGTCACATGGGTCATGTACGGGTGCATAGAAGGCAGTTGAAACACTGCATATGAAACCTCTGTGCTATTAAATCTTTATCGCGCACCTAGCATATTTTGATAACTTTCAGAACTACTGAAAGGCTCCAGGATCTGCCATTGCTGTAAAAAAGCAAAAACAAAACTCCGCTGGAATGAACGGAGATGACGTAACTCTTCCATTTAATGGCTCTGGATACACCTGGTCAGTTGCTTGCTAATGCAGAACTCTAATCAGCCAATCGCATACCAGGTATGCAGACATAGTCAAGATGACCTGCTGAAAGCCTGCAAGTTCTCAGCCATTAAGGTCAGGGTAGGCTTTAGAACTTCAAAATAAAGTTAAGGTGAAGAAGTTTTTAAATGGAGTGGGAGATTCACATCATGGCTGCAGCAGCTGTGTGATGCTGTCATGTCAATGGACCAAAATCTCTGAGGAATGTTTCCAGAACCTTGTCAAATGTGCGCCATGAAGAATGAAGGCAGTTCTGAAGGTACAAGGAGCTCCAGCCTGCTAGTAGAAGTGGCTGGCAAGTATAATTTTCAGTGTTTGTTGCTCAGTTGGTTTCCCAACAGTGTTTATGCAGAATAACGGGCCAATAAGAACTTTCAAACTGGCCCAAAAACCAAACAAGTAGCCTTGATACAAAGTCGCCTTTGCCAAGTAGCTCAGTCACTCTGTTCTTCTTGTTGTTGGTATCTCAATGACATGTCCTTTTAGTCTTTTTATAGAAAAATGTGTTTCTACAGGACAGCTAAAAGAAAAAGCAGGATTAGTTCCCATGAATATTATTTACTGTCAAATCTAAGACACGCTGGAATTCCAGCACGGAGAGCTTAAAGCCCCGTGACACGCAGCTGTCACACACTTAAACGTAAGCTCTGTGAAATATTTACAGTCGTCGTCACATGCGTGTCTGTTGAGGTGCACATCAAAGGGAGGCCACTGCGCCTGCTTAACATCTCCACTGATCTCAAATGGGCCCCAACACACACATGTGCCTGCCATGTGTGTATCTGTTAACGTATGGCACTTTGCGTCATGTTGTTTGCGCGTGTGTGTATCGGCGTGACTGTGTCTGAATGAGCACGCGCTTGTGTGTGCGTGTGGATACCTTGTACAGCGCCGTTGTCTTGCTGGTTCCCATTAACTTCAGGTTTGTCCTCGGCTACAGCAGCGTCTGGTTTGTAACACAAAGACAAGACAGAGTCTCAGTGGGTCGGCCAATAAAGAACAAACAGCACCTTGTAACTGCGTGCAGGTGAAAGACAAACCGGATCCACAGAGGGTCCAGCCCCAGACAGTTTTTTTTTCTTGTTTCTTCGTGAGAATTACATCGGTGGGCGTTGCTATGCTTCTTTTCTCCTTATTAATGATAAACAGGCATAGTCACTGCCATCGGCCTGCACAGGAGCACGAACCTGAAGCAAACGTGGAGCTGCTTCTACGAGACGTAGTGCTGCAAACTGTGCTGGCGTTGTTTTTCTGCAGCGGTGCCACGCAGACAGATTAACTGCACATTTACTGCTGCTGGTGATTATTCCGAATTTTATGGAAGGACGACAGAAAAACAGCAGCAGCCTGTAACTCTGCTTTTAAAGCTGCTTGTTAGGGTAAACAAGAGGCTGAAGGGGGGAAATCATTCATCTAACAGGCAAACATTTAAGCAGTTTTAAACGCAGGCAGTTTGAGCTAAAGCGACAAAGGGAAGAATTTAAAAAGACGAAAGAAGAAGAAGTAGGAGGCGGCGAGAAAACAAACCGTTCTTTTTGTTGTTGTTGTTGTTGGCAGCGTGCAGCGGCTCAGGAGAAGGGGAGGACGAGGACGAGTGTTTCAGAGCGTCCTCCACTCTCTCCCTCCTCTTCGACTCGAACTCCAGCGCCTCCTGCAGCTTCCTCTTGGCCTTCTTCTCCTTCTTCAGCCGCTTCTGGATGGAGGCTGGAGGAAGAAGATAGCTCGTCTTGTATCTACCATGTAACTCACTGGCAAATTTCCATTCTTTCTAACGGCCCCTTTATGCTCTAACATTGCTTTTGAGGCTCATCTTCAAAGAACTTGTCAAATGCCCCCCTCCTCCTCCTCCTCCTCTAACCTCTGCTCTGTAGTTCAGAGGTGAGCTGTCGTTCCAGACTCTCTCTCATCTCCCGTTCCCTGTAGAGCTCCATCTTCAGCTCCCTCTTCTCCGCCTGGATCTGTTTGTCCTGCGCCCGGGCGTTCTCCACAGCCACCTTCAGCAGGCCCTGAGTGCACAGATTGGAGTTTATAACCTCTAACACTGTTCAGGACGTGCAGATGAGACAGAGACCTGCCGTGTTGTCAGTGTTTAAATTAGGAGTACTTAGAAAAAAAAGAAAAGAAATTAAATCCCAATTTGTATATATGAATTTTTCTTTTGTATAAGTTAAAGTGCATCTGCCAAATTATATTATTTTTACTGTTTTTTAATTTTTTCAAGGACTTCTTTAGTGAAACAGAGAGCTGAGGAGAGAAATGTCACGATTACAGACTGTGACCATACGTGTTTGTTTCCTTACTTTGGTTAGCTAATACACATGCTCATTACAAAAGCATCAGCTCTGTTACATCATGTTCAAGTGACTGTTTAACTCATTAACCCACTGTCCCTCCTCTGCACATGTCCAAACTTTGTCTTCAAACCACTCAACCTGAGCTGTCCCTCATTTCTAATCGTGTCCACCTTGTCTTTTTAACAGCACCACCATCTACATCCTCTTCATCCTTCTCTCTCAGATCACTCCTCGTCACCCACTCTGTTCGTCACCTCTCTTTGTTGACCCCGGGTATTCAAACTCATCCACCCTCACTACCTCGTCTCCTTTCCACCTGCTTCCCTCTCATTCACACACTCGTATTCTGTCTTGCTTCTCATTCCAAACATATGCAACCATAAGAATTATATGACCTAATGTAATATTGCTGTAGTGTTCTTTGCAGTAGCATTAAAAAAGTGCAATAAGTCCCTCGTACTCCTGGAGTCCATCTGCTGCCTTTTCCCAGCGGCTGTTAAAGCGACAGTGACAGTGAGAACAGCATCACACCTGTATGTTGGTGAGGAGGGTCTCCACTGACGACAGGCCGTCAGCGAACAGGAACGGAGCAGGAAACCCGGGCGGCAGGGTTTGTCCGAGCGGAGACTCCTCTGTGAGAAACAGTGAACAGAGCAGGCAACTTTAAATATTTTGGACCTGATGAAATGGTTTATTTGCCTGGTTCATTTAAGACGCTGTCTTAATTTATGAGGACCCTGCTCCACAAATTCAAAAAAAGAAGAAAGGTTCCTTCGACAGTACTTGTCACGAAGTCGGAGTGAAGTTTATGAAATGTTTACTAAGGTATAAAAGGCAACGAAGCAGCGTCACAGAAATCAATTACACCAAACCCACACGCACGCACAGACACACA